TATATATACAGCTATAAATACGTTCTCGTCTTATTCGTGTTCTCTTTTTTACTTAAGATGAAAATAAGAAGAGAAGAGATTGTGGTGGTGGTGGAGACCAGACCAGCTGTTCTCCACCACCACAATCATCACAATCACCACCCTCACAGGGATGCTTATTCGGAAGATCCTTCTGGTGGTATTCGCCTATCTGAAGGAACTATCGTTTGCGGAGGAGTATTTCGATGAAGGTTTTTGGTTAAAAAGGGCAGCTGTTAAGCTCACATAAAGAAAATAAGAGAATGATAGAATACTAAAAAGATCACGGTCACGCCTTTACAAATTTATTCTTCACATATTTCGTTTTAGATTTATTTTTGTTCTTTTTTTTTTTACTTTACTAAATATAATAATATGTTAATATTTCATTTTATTTATTGACAAAAAGTTTCAAATCGTTTTTCATCAATAATGTACGTTGAAAAATCGCAAATTCGCCAGAGTTGATCGGTTGGTTGGTTGGTTGGTTTGAATCGAAGGTCATCTATAAAAATAAAAAAAATAAAAACTGACAGGATCGCCAGATGCCAAGGGAAGTTAATTAAATCGCCACTTACAGGAGCTTAGAACCTTTCACGGATTTTTTTGACGGATGGCAGACCTTCAAGGCACTCTTCATTTTTTTTAAATTTTGACTTACAATTAGGCCACTTTCATAAGTATATATGTAATAAATTAATTATAAATATATAAACATTAATATAATATATATTAATAATAAAATGTTTGAAAACTAACTCTCGTCGTAAGTTTGAGAAAGTAAAATTAAAGAAAAGAAAAGAGAGAGAGAGAGAGACAGAGAGAGAGAGAGAATCCTGGGAAGCAAGTTCCCGCCAATTTGTTGGCGGCTGCTCGAGGCAACCTAACGGCCGTTGGTCCGAGATACTACCTCGAAAGTGGCAGGTGCAAGCCGGGCCAAACTTCATTAAACGCAATCCCATCTGCGCCCTCATACTTCCGAAAGAAAGAAAGAAAGAGAGAGAGAGAGAGAGAGAGAGAGAGAGAGAGAGAGAGAAAGAGAACGTCTTACGAAGAAACGAGTAAAAAAAAAAAAAATACACGAAAAAGGACCAAGACGTTGACTATTTTTTTGTTTTCTTTCTTTTTTCATCTTCTTCTTCTTCTTTTTCTTCTTTTTCTTCTTCTTTTCTCCCCCCCCCCCAATCCTAAATCCTAAATCTCAACTTCTACTATCAATTCGAAATTATTAATCAACAATATTCGCATTGTTTATTGTACATTTTATTATATTTTTATTGTTTTCTCTTTTTCTTTTTTTTTTTCGATTTATATTCGAAGGACACCACCACCACCACCACCACCATCGACTACTAACGGATGTCGTTGCGGAAAAAAATAAGGGTGGTGAAAGGGAGAAGAAAGCCCTCAACGATACCAAGCGAATCAAATTTCTTTCCATCGATCGATCGATCGATCCATCGATCTCTTGATCGATCTTCTTCTTCCTCTTTCCTACTTTTTTTTTCTACTTTTTTTTCTTTTTCTTTTTCTTTTTTTCCTCTTACATCAGTTCGAAGAAATACGAGAACCTTTCTTTACTCCATTTTTTATTACATTTAAAAATCTATAATATATAAAATAATTATATGAGATTGTAAAAAATGTTAAACGTATGTATATGTTACATACGGTAATATATATATGTATATAACAACGAAACGTTAATGTTTTGCAATAAGCAAGGTGTTTCCAAGTGGTATTCCCACACCATGAGTTATCCATAACACGTTCTTTCGAATGTATGTAACATACATGTGTGTACCTGTAAAAAGGGAAGTAGGAAGAAGAAAAAGGACAATAGACAAATAAAAAGGGTCCACTTGTCGCAGTGGTGGTGGTAGTAGTACGAAGGGAGAGCTATTATCCACCTTATAGATTCAATACCTTTTCATTTCCCCGTATTTCATGGTAAGGAGCTTCATGGGGAAATTACTTTTCCGGATTTTTTGCTATTTCTTTAATCGAGGACAAAAATCTTGAAATAATTTTAAAGTATCATCGTTTCTTAATCTTCTAATGCCATTTTTTAAATGTTTAGTCTTAGAATTATTTTCATTATTATTTAATTCAATTAAAATTTTAACAGCTTATATATATGAATATTTAATTATTATTATTATTATTATTATTATTATTATTATTATTATTATTATTATTAATTGGCATTAGGAACTGGAAAGTTCATTGCCGCAAATAACAAATTCCGCCATAATATATCAATATTTAATATTTTAATTTTAGTATTTTAATTAATTAAGTTTAATGAATGTTCGTATAAATGTTCCTGTCAACATGTTGTACTCATCAAATATTTAAATATTTTGTGTTGTTTTTTATTTTTGTTTTAATTTATTTCGAAAAAGAAAAAAAATATATCTGATCAATTTAATCAGGTTCCCACGTAAGTTTCAGGTTAATTAATAGAAGAGAAAATTCCAAACGTGACCAATTAGAGAAAGATAATCGTGAATTTCTATCATAATTCAACTGGTAGATTATACATATGCGATATTTCCTAAACAGGTGTTAAACGGGGGGAGTGTCTGTTATTTGATATGTTACTATCGTTTGATAAATCATTATCATCATCATCATCATCATCATTTTCATCATAGTCGTCGTCATGATACACGCAAGAATTTCGTTCCGGTGTCGTAAATTCGATCAAATGTGTATATGTGTGTGTGTGTGTATGTCTTTTTTTTTTTATTTTTTTTAATAACACCATAAGCGTTCTAATTTAAAACATATGAAATGTACGCGTATCCTTTAATGAAATAATTATAATAATAAACCCCATTGTAAATTTTATATGTTTTCCACATTTTATAAATGAACAATGTGTAAAATAAATTTGTTATATATGTAGAGAATATTTTAATTAATTATATATATTAATTATAATATTAACATTTAATAATACAATATAATATTATCGAAAATATTTTAATATTAATTAGCAATAATAAACAATATAATACTGTATACAATTAATAATAGGGAATGAAAATAATTAATCTTATGGGTTAAGGGGTAGGGTTTCTCTACTTCTGTAAAAATTTATCAAAATAACATTCAAATTCTCTCTCTCTCTCTCTCTCTTTCATTCTCTCGCAATTATAAATATCGTAATTACTAATATTATGCAACAAATACACGTGAAATAAAATTTGTCTATTTCTAATCAATGATCAACAATTTGTTTTCTAAGTTCACGTTGAACGTAAAATCACCTAATTTTTGTTTGAAAGTATATCAATCAGTCATGATCTCGTTAACAATTTCAATTAAAAGAAATAAACAACGAATCTTGACATGGGTTTTATATGAGCAAAATATTAGATGATTCTATTATTGATGAATATTACAAAATATATTATTTATAGAACACGTAGCATATATTAACGATTTTTATAATTAATTATCAAATTTTTGTCAATGTATTGGCGCATAAATAATCATCATTTTTTGCTTTCTTTTTATTATTATTTTTTTCTTTTTTTTTTTTGTTAATATTCTTTTCTTTTCTTTTCTTTTCATTTATGCAACTTCCGAACGAGCAGTCGAATTTCTTCTTCGTCGCCAGATGACAAATCCAATGATACCGATAACCGCCAATGCACCGATAACACCACCAACTATTGCACCAATGTTCGAAGTTGCTACACAATTTTCCTCTAAAAAGAAGCAAAAAAAAACACACACACACACACAATGAGATATTATTACAGTCGAAAGAATAAAAGATAATAATTTATTACTTTTGAATATAGTATTGATAATAACTCATACGCGGACAATATTGCTTTGTTAGGGGTTCAATAAAGATTCGTTATTTAACAATGCAAAAAAAAATCAATTTTTGGGGGGAAAATTAATGATTAGAAAAAGAAAAAGAAAGAAATAAATAAATAAATAATAATCTTTACCAGATCTCGATGAGATATTGTTATTTTCTATGAAAGCCATCAAATTGACATCGCTGATCGATAATTCCATGTTTTCAGTCGTAACAAATGTTGGAACACTGCACACGTATTTTGCATTCGTAGATGTACTGAACAATGATTGATTTGGCTCGGTTTTTTGTAATACCACTTTGTCTATAAAATAAAATATCAATGAAAATGATTTCATTTTAATACTCAGTAGAATTAAATTTAAATTTAATAATTACAATCACATTAATGCAACTGACCTTTTGCATTGGGAAAAACTTTTGGATCTAAAATAATTTGAACAATGATTTGATTAACCGAGAACGTAGAATCGGTCTTTTTGAATAAGAAAGTAACTGTATTTTCATCTTTGGTATCAACAAACTCGTTGACAATTCTCTCATATAAAGTGTTCTCAGAATTAGACCAAATGAAAGTCATAGTAGATTCCTTGTCACCGCATTTACCACTAATTTTTGCGGTAGATGGTACATTTATCGTTTTCTTTGCGACCTGTCAAATATTATATGTAAATCAATATGAAAGATTATTGAGATATATACATTTATATCTATTTAATTAAAAATTTCATGCAAAATTGAAACATTCGATATATGTATAATAAATAATACCTTATCGTCTGTTGTGTTGTACGATACAGTTACCGCAATCTTCATTCTCGATAATATACACGTTACATTTTTGTCAGTCACTTGATTTGGGTATTCCTTAATACTTGCAATGGTAGACGTACTTATAGGTGTTTCTGTTGTCGTTTGTTCTGATGTCGGTGTTTCTGTTGTCGTTTGTTCTGATGTCGGTGTTTCTGTTGTCGTTTGTTCTGATGTCGGTGTTTCTGTTGTCGTTNTGTTCTGATGTCGGTGTTTCTGTTGTCGTTTGTTCTGATGTCGGTGTTTCTGTTGTCGTTGGTTCTGATGTCGTTATTTCTGGTTTCGTTGTTTTTGTTGTCGGTTTTTCTGTTGTCGTTGTTTTTGTTGTCGGTTTTTCTGTTGTCGGTGTTTCTGTTGTCGGTGTTTCTGTTGTCGGTGTTTCTGTTGTCGTTGTTTCTGTTGTCGGTGTTTCTGTTGTCGTTGTTTCTGTTGTCGGTGTTTCTGTTGTCGTTGTTTTTGTTGTCGGTGTTTCTGTTGTCGT